CCCCCCCCAAATTAGACTATTAAGATCTGGTTTTATTGCTTTATTTTTTAAAAAAACTTTCTTCTTTTTTAAAATCTGATTAGGGTCATATTTTAAAGCTATTTAAGTGCCTGAAGTTAGTACTTACATGCCTAACCTCTGTTGTTACCATTGGGAATTAAGCTGTGAGATGCTCAGAAGTTCAATAGGTATCTGTCTGTATTTTTAGCTGCGTAAACAACTTGGAAAACAGCTCATTGCAAGTCATTAGGAGCTTGTTTTTATTTTCACAGGTAATGGGAAACTGCACTCCAATTGTTTTTTATCAAGAACATTGAATGCTTGGCTTGTTTAAAAGTCGAGCACTAGTTAGTAAAGCATCATTGAGGGTTTTTGTAAACTAGAGCAGGGCATAGCTCTAGCTCCCTCTCAAGCACACTTCATGGTGTGCTTTGCTTTGTTATGCACTCATGTATGCAGTTTCTTCGTGTTCTGTGGAAATGTGGCAGCTTTCTGGTGTCTAGTGCAAACAATTAAATATAGATTTATATAAGCAGGTTCTTCAGCCTTCATGGAGACCCAGATACAGGCGTTTTCCACAAAGGTTTGTGCTGGGATTGTGTCTGCTCATCAGTCATTAGGAGAGCAGAAGTTTGGGGCTTTTTACTTAGGTTTTTCCTTTTGACCTTTCAGAGGACAAGGTGGTTTTATTGCTGGGATATATTTTCTAATTAAATTGACATTGCCTTTTCAAGACTGTGAGATATTACTTGGATTCTTGCAGCTGCTCACATTCTGTGGAGGCAAGATAAGCCTAACAATGACAGGTAAACTTGCATGACCAATTACAATGGAAAACGCAGCAAATACCTTGCAAACTATTGAGGACAAGGGTGTAGGGTGATGCATGTTTTGTTTCTCTTCCCACATTCAGCTCTGTCCTTTAATAATAGATAGTATTTCAGAGAAATTCTGCTGAAGATTGGTAAGTCTGGGTAAATCAGTTCTAGAGAAATCTAGTTCCTGACAGGCCAAAAGACACTGCTGTAATAAAAGGCTGATATTGTCAGTCCTGCATTTGACTGTGCGGTAGTCCTGAGACATTTTCTAGTGTACAGCATGTCACACACTGCTGCATGCCTTGAAAAATCCTCTGTTGGGCTTGTGCAGCAAGCAGAAGAGTAAGTTTTCAAAGACAATATGGAGTTTTACCCACTTAACGATAGGTATTTTTCCCATTGGATGCGATTACAGTGAACTTGGGTAGAGTGTCGAGGAGTGAGGACTCACTTTACTTCTTTGAAGTTTGCCTGCAGATAGCATAATCCTACTCTGTGTGAATGTTGCCCTTCCATGAAGTTGGGGGAAGACTGGCACACCTCCAGAGGGGGGCAGTTTTTGCCACGCAGTAGCCTTCAGCAGGTCAGCGACATGCTGTGAATTAGCAGGGATGGGGGTGCACCCTTCTTCCTTGTCTGCCACTTAACCTTCCAGCTAAAAAAATACACGTTGTAGCTGTTTCCAGAATCCTGTCATGATAGTTTCCCTGCTTGTTTTAATAGATCTGAAAAGACAGTACCAGGCCATCTAGAAGTAAATTCGGGTTTGGTTTGGGTTTGTTTTTTTTTTCTTTTCATCCAAGAGGATGAGCTCTCCTTATTGCAAACAGGGTTCTCACATTTTTAATGGTGCATGTACTTGTATGTGTGTGTGAAATCAGTGTATAAAAGGTAGCTTTGGAAAATGAGTAAATCATTAATAGCTTTAAATAAAACTGTAAACCCTCAGAAAAAGTAACAGCAACTTCTGCTGACAGAAGTATGTTACAAATATTTTCCTTGTCTTACTGTTCCCTGGCTATTTCATGCTTGGATTATTACGTTAGCTGTATCAATAAATCTTCTCTTTGGCCACCTTTTCCAGGCTGGTGTAAAGCTTATGGCTCTAATTTACCACTATCCTGGCCTTATTACTTACCCTGTTACACTGCATGCCCAAAAATCTTATCCTTATCACAAATTTGGAAAAGAAAGGCTGAGAACAATGATCTAGACACACCAGTCAATGGGAGCAAAAGCTGCTGAAGGGCTGCCCTTTGTGGAAGAGTTACCAGTATCTGGCTGCTTGTGGACTCTGCCACTGAGCTCCCTCCTGCCATCCTGCCCCTCCATTTCTGCTGTAGCTGCTCTGTCTCTTCACATCAGCTCCCCGTTCCTTGCTCTCAAATGTGGAACTAACGTGCTGTTTGCTGCCGTGGTAGGAGACACTTTATGTATGTGTCATGCCTCTCCCCGTGCTCTTTCCAGACTGGAAGCTCCTTGGGGACCATCATCTACTCTGCATTTGTGTAAGATGGAGCACAATGCAGCTGCCTCTCAATTGTTGGGATTTTTTGTTGTGGTTTTTTTTGTTGTTGTTGTTGGTTTTTTTATTTGAAGTGGCTAGTGGGATCAACATGCCTCAAGCTTGTCCTGTGCCTTCAGAGGGGCCATTATCTTACCACCAATTTTTATTTTATTTATTTTTTAACCTTCACTCTTTCTGTCCCTTACTTCAAGTATAAATTTAAACTTCTATGAAATGGTTTCATTTGAAATGACCCTCTCTGCAGATATTACTGTATGTGCCACTGATGTTGGCAGGTCCATTTTAATGTGTGAATTTTAAAATCTCTTACCCTCTCCATTAATAAAAGGATCTCTTCCTTGGGGAGGAAGTCGCTCCATAGAAATACACAAGTTTAATTGGCATTTCCAGCTCAGATCTGACTATTTCTTCTTGCCCCAGAATAGTACTACTGTATTGCTTATGGTCAGAGCTGTGTAAATTCTCCTTAACCAGAATAGATAAAAATATTGATACAAGCTTTTTCCTGTTTTACAGGAACATGTGGATGATGTAACTATCGTGCAGGAAAAAAAAGGAAACTGTGATGAAGTTAACATAGACAAGGTATGCTTTGACTAAATTGTGTAAGATTTAAAGCAAGTCAGCATTTAATGTATGCATAGAATGTGTAACAAAAAAAGTGCTTTGTTGCTTGTCTGTAGCTAGATTGCACTAAATAAGAGCTCTACTTAAAACGTGCTTTACCTTCCGTGGGTTAAGTCCAAAATGTACAGCTCTGGTCAATGTCAGGAGCTTCTAAGTAGCTTCTTAGGTTAAATGCCGGTTTCTTTGCCTCTCATCAGTGTTGGCAGTTTCAGTGTAGCTGTTACCTGCAGTTAGAAGATTAAACATATCTGATACAGCAAAATGTTCATTTAAAATACCACTAGAAAAATCACAGTTCTCATGTTGAGTGTGAAAAAGGATCACATGCAACTTTTTAATTATCCTTGCAAAACTATGAAGATAACTAATTATTTTATTCTTCCCTTATCTTTTCATTGTGAATTAAATTAACTGTCATTTAACACACAGAAGATAGCATCTTGCACTGTTTTTTCTGCATGCTAGGTAAGGCGGCAGGCTCTGCAAGAAGAAATCGATAGAGAATCTGGCAAAACTAAGGTTTTCAGTCACAAAGTGGAATGGGTATGTACGAACTTAGATCTTGATCTGATGGAAATATGGCGTCCCAGAGCAGGTTCCTGAAAAAAAGCACTGCACTTCCTTTTGTATGTGGCTCAGGTACATGGCTTGGCACAACAGTCTTCCTTCTGACTGTAAATTTAAGGTTATGCTATAGAACAAGTTAATACAATCCCAAGAGAGTCTGGGAGCTGACCATTGAACTCCAACAGCAGTCAGCATTGTACAGTGCTCTATTCCTATCATCAGTCCTCAAAAGCAACATTTTCTTTGGTTCCAGTGAGCCACGACATTGCTGCAGAAGCATTTTCTGCTTACTGTGAAATACAAATAATTCTAGGCTGTAGATACAGCAGTCACTGAATTGTATCTGAATTGTTACCTGGAGACTTTGCAGACATTCAGGAATGGGTGCACATGGAGAGGTAAAAGGGATGACAACTGATAACGCATACGCAGTTTACAGTCGGTCCTCTCCTAACTTCTGTAGCTTTCCTCCTCCTCGTTGAAAGACGATTCTTTATTCTTTGCTTTTGCATCCTAGTCAGCCTGCCTCCTGACAGGTTTACAGGAACGTCGTGGAAACTGTTGCAGTAGTGTTTAGCAGGGGTAATAAGATTCAGGAGGAAAGACAGCTTTGCTAGTAATTCAGAATTCTTAGTTGTTTTGCAAGACTGGCAGTATGCCTAGAAAGTTGGAATATACCTCAGACAAATGCCAGAAACAACTCCTGGAGGTTTTTATGTAGTGGGAGGCAGACTGCAATAGTTCTGGAACAGCAACTGTCTAATAGTCTCTGAAGTCATTGAGAAAAATGACATCCTTGGCAGGGATCTCAGTTCTTTGGTGCTGATCTGTCTCTGCTTAGTAGTATGCAGAGCAATCGAAGCTACGAAAACTAATTCATCAGCTTCACAAAGTGAGCTGGAAATGCTGCAGCAAAAGCTACGTGTAGTGCCTGCCAGCAGTTCACTTAAAAAAAATTACAGGGTTTGACAAGCCATAATTATTTTTGCATCTGTGCAGATGCCTCCCATTCCAAAAGGAGGACATATATTTGTGTGCATGTGTCTGTGTCACAGACCTGGCTTACACAGCAACTTGTCTTCGAGCAAGGTAAAATTACTAACGTATTACAGATAGCTTTCTTTTAGTAGCAGGTATTCTGGCCTGTGACAGTGAACGATACTCCAGCCCTGCATTTTGGTAACTTAACCTGCTACAGCTTGCCTGCAATATTGTGTAGCATGCTGTGTGTCGTGTTGGCTGTCTAGTGGAGAATGACTGTTTCATGCAAGCTACAACTGTTCTGTTGGAAGGATTTCAGGCTTACATAAACACACCACTAAATTCACATTTTTTCCTTTGATACAGCCAGCTCAGTCTATTTAATTAATGATCAAACATTCTTCCATTTAATGTCACCACCAATTTTAAAGAAAAAATTGGGAGTAGCAGTCCTGCCAAAAATAGTTATAACTGACTGCATAGCTCCTAGCTGTAGCTCCAGAGTCAAGTAAGAGCCTTAGATAATGAAGGTTGTTCTTAGGTAAGACAAAAGTTCATAAACTTTGTAAATCATATGATGTATCTTGGGTTATCCACGAACAGCTGAATTCTGATTTTATTTGGACATTTCAGAAAGGAGCCATTATCTGCAGACAAAAGTAAAGTCTTGAAAGAGCGAACTATTCAAAGACTAGAGTGAAAGGTGAACACAAAGAATACAGCAAACTGCGAGCGAGGGGAGGCTTCAGGGGTACTATATTTAGTCCTGTTGGATAAGGGTATGCCCTCAGTTTTTGCACCCTTGCAATATTAATTAGTGGGATGAGAATACAAATACTAAGCATGAGCCAGACTGAACAGTGTCTCAAAAACTAACATAACAAAACACTGCTGAAAACAACAGCTACGTAACTGGGCAACAGGAAAATAAAAAGGTAACCGTACAAAGTGACAGCGTGAAAGAGGACTAAGTCTGACACTTGTCTTAGAATAAGAGAAATGGTTGGGCAATGTCCTCTGTGAGCTAGGTAAATATTATCCAGAGAGCAGAAAAGCCAGGATTCCTAAAGACGGAGGGAAGGGAGATTCTGAAAGTGCATTAAATCCTGTCTCCTGGTTAAATGAACTGAAATGCTAATGAAGATGCATTCGTGCAGGGTTGTGTCATTGTTTTAGCACATCCTTCAAGAGGTACTACCACGACTGCATGCCAGCTTTGTCAGCCCTGTCGGGTTTTTGTAGCTGATTTTGTTCTCACGGTACACAGTCAGAAATTGTCTTCCTTGGTCTTGTTTTGCTTCACAGGATACAAAGTTCGGCCAGTGGAGTACAGCCGCATTTCGAAGTTCTGAGGAAGAAAAGAAGTTTTTTAGACTGATGGGTGGCTTTAAAAAGGGCTCTGTGCCTCTCCAAAATTTCTCAGCAACTGCAAACAAACTGAACATGGCTCTGAACAGGGAAGGGGAGGAGAAGTTACAGCAGGCTCTGAAGATGGAATTCGATAAAGCAATGGATTTGAAGCAACATAGAGGAATTGGTCTTGGATTTCAACCTGCTGCCAACAAAAAAGTATACATAGATAAATATACATCTAGATCTATAAAATTTGAAGATTAAAACTCTGAAGTAATAAAAGGAATGAAAATTCTACAGGCAAACTTCTTTTTACTTTCCACATCTTTTTACTTGAAATAAAATGTAAAATGTTTAAGAAATGTGATTTATGAGGCACTTTTAGTACAAGTTTTCAACTCCATATGCCAGATCATGTGTAGCTGGGTCCTCACTTCAGCTAACAGTTTTTGAAACCTTTACAATGTTTTCTACAACGCTAGAGACAGCCCCCTTCAAAGACTGAAGATGTGTGATGCAATGCCTGCAACAAGTTGAAGCTTGGTAATTTTTAAAAAAATGCTGATTTCATAAACATTTTTAGCTACATCTTAGTGATTCAAGAGGATTTTAGTGTTCTGTAAAATCTTCATTTTTTTACACTCAGGGAGTGGTAGAAAGTGATGGCGTTTGAAGAAACACTACTGGTATGCCTGCAGATTTGATGAAGGGAGACTTCTAACTCGAAGTAGTTTCTTAAATATTAGCATCTTCATTATAATAATGAGTACCTTTGAACATCCTCTGTATTTTAACTGTGCTCTGGCAGTTGGATTTTCAAGCAGCAGCTATTACCTGTAAATGAAGGTAAACGCTTTCTGGATGGCAGCACCAAATCTGTGGATCTAGGCTTCCTAAGCGTTCATTATACATCAACAGGAATTAAATATCTAACCTTTGGGTTTTCAGACAACCTGCACTTTCCCTGGCTTTTAATAAGAGTACAAAATAGGAGACTGCATTTGGGTGTGTTGTGTTCAGAATGCAAGGGTCCAAAGCAGTCTGTCAGTGGCCTGCTTGAAGTTACAAAAAGATAGTGGAAAACTGTCATATATTTTATTACTGGCCGTGCCATTTGTTAGGGGAGGCAGTGTTGTTAAGTTTTAGTGTACTCTGGTTTTTAAGCAGAACAAGGTAACCGTCTGTTACGCCCGTGCCTGCTGTAATGCAATAGTGGCCAACGTGCAGGGGAACCCCAGCCCCCCAGAATTAGGTTACTGTTTCTGCTTACCCAGCTCATTGTTTTTGTACTGAAATACCTGTCATTTTGGTAAGATCATGCCAACTGAACTACTCAATTTCTTGCTCTTTAAGGCAACCTGACTTTCTACAATAGTCTTCTCCAATGGACTGCTCTACCTGAAAGCAGCTGCCTCCAGCAGGAAATACACTTAACAAAGGAGCAGTTAGTTCCAATTGGGCAATTCCTGAGGGGAAGTGAAAATTAGGCAGAGGCTCCAACTTAAGGGGTTGCCATGAATCCATTGCCATACCTGGGAAGAGGGAGATGCTGAACCACTTCCTGCAGGGTCTGAACTTGTCTTTGAGGAAACCATCTCCTTTAAAGTGTCATTTAAAACTGCCACTAACTCAGGGTGAGTCTGTGGTGCACAAGTGCTCTCAAAGCTCAGCAGCTGGCTTCAGCCAGCCCTTCTAGGCTTCAGCTGTTGCTTTACTTAAATTCAGGTAGCAGAGGTTCTGTTTTTGATTCTGGCTTAGGACAAATGCTGAATTCATTCCCTCAGCTACTTGCCTGGCAAAAAAAAATGAGTTAAAATAAAGGAACAGGTAGGAAAATGTGAACTAGTGACTTCATCCAGGAGAGGGATATCATGTACAGCTTTCAGCTGCAGAGCCAGTTTTGGATGAGTAGTGACTGGTCTTGCTCTGCCACTGACAAAGATGCTGAAGGTGATATTAGTTCTATCCTTGCTTTCAGATCAGAACTCTTTTTGCCATCTAGAATTGCATAATGTATACCAGTGCGTTGCTTGACTATAGCTTTGTGGATGGCCTGGCACCTTGCTCTTGATAATACTGTGCACATGAAAATGTTGTAGTTTGAAAAACAAAACATATACCTGGGGAAAAAACTGTCAGCTTTTTTCATGCAGGCAAACTTGGTCTGGATTGTATATTTGCTATACACAGAAGAAAGAGGAGGTCTATAATAAGTAGAGTGCTTTAACTAAAATTAATTTTGCTCTAATGTGGAAGTAAGCCAAAAGCAGTTTATTAGAGTGGTTATGTTGGCTTCTAAGCTAGATGTTTAGAGGTTGCTCCTTATAACTAACCAGAGCTTTGTGGCTGTTGTTGAGCTATTTTTGCACTAATAAAAAGTGGTAAAACATTTGAAAACACTTCTCATGGCAGTCTTGCATCAATAAAGAAGCCAAAGTTACACTGTGCTCAAATGAGAACGGGCAAAAATTGGTGCCTGCATAGGGAAGAGAAATGGTTGGGACATTTGTAAGCCTGCTGTAAGAGTTTCCATTTTACAGAATCCAGAACAACTCCACACTGGGTTTAGAGCAGTACATTTGCCCCCTGAGGGCAATTTCTGCCATACCACAACTGCTTAGTGTGACCCACTTGGCAGTTCAGAGAGCTGAGTTTAATCGCATTTACCCAGTTTGTGGGTTTTGTTTCCAAGCCCAACAGGAAGGATCATCTACGTGCTGTTGAGAGTTGTTTTGTGCAGCTGCAGCAAGAAGGAAAGCTAAATTAAAGTGGGACATGGTAACATATGCAGTACTATAATTTCATTATCTATTTGTGCTTTATACAGAATTATTTAAGGAAAGTCAGTATAAATAAAATAGCGATGTATTAGGTTGGAAAGCTTCTATATCAAATTGATACCACTTCATAATTATCTTGTTTTCCTGCAGCTTTACTCAGCTTACATATATAGTTTGTACTATAGGACCAAAGGGTCCTAGTTCAGTTCTTTACAACCTTAACAAAAGTTACATATTTTAGAGGTATACTGCTTCAATAACCACTCAAGAGATGAAAAACATGCAACATGAATGGTTTAATAATTTGGATGGTATTTATTACCAGCCTGCCAACTCCTTAAATAGATGGTTCCAGCAGAACTGATTACTTGTTTAGCCTTGAAGAAAGAAAACATTTTTGTGCAAAAATATATCTTAATACCCATATAAGGATTTAGCTCATTAAAATACTTCCCACTAAGCAAAAGCAGCCATAGATGCAAGGCCTCAACATGGTTTCTTACCGTGGGACAGAAGTGGTCAGAATGAAATTTTATTAGGTGTAATAGCAGTAAATGTAACAATTCGACAAGGGTCAGGTGATAAATTCATATACAAAGAACCGCCCAGAACAAACAGAGAACTGCAAATTGTTTATTAAGTGATAGTGTACTTTGCGAATATCGAGTACTTTGCATCCATTTCCATTTTCCTTTGCAGACAGCACTTAAAAGATTCCTTCCATTTTACAAAACACCATTGAACTAAAATGAAAGCATAAACATGTCTGTGAAAATGTATTGTAGAAATTAGAACATTAACACCTTGATCATTTTTCTCATCTACTAGAACTGACCAAACAAATGTTGGCAGCATCACAAAGCAGAAAGACAACTTAGTAGGATTATTATATTGAAATGCTGCTTTCTTAGACAGGGGAAAGACTACTCTGCAAGTGGGATGAAGTTTGGTAGCTGCGAATTGATCTGTGCAGATTATCTTCTTCCTTTATTGATAAAATGACAACAGATTAGGTTTCAAAAGGCTTTTGCAACCACAGAGGTTCAAAATACCATTTACTGAATCTAAATCTGCATTTAAAATAAGAATATAGAGGTAATACTGGAAACAGAAATTCAGGTTAAATTATTGCACTCAGAACTGAGTTTTAGCTTTACCTGTGCCCCAGTAAATCTGTCACACTAAGTAAAATAAAAATACACTGAATTCCAGTCAAAATCTAGATCAGTGATTTTTGGCCTCAGATACATGTTCCCTTGTACAGATGACTCCTTGGCAAAGAGGCGTTCATCAGGTCCTGGACTGCAGAGGAAGCCGAAGGGCCAAGTCTGTGAAGTGACTCATTTCTGGTTGTTTGCTTTGCCTCTTGATGTATTCTAGCGTTTTCACCTGGGTATGAAAAGAAAGGTATTTTGAGATTTTTACTGTCTTTGTCTTTTCGCATCATTTAATCTATGTGAAGGTGTTTTAATAGACACTCTCATGATTTTCCCTAAATTTCACTGGCTACATGAGCACTTGCATTTCTTGCTCCAGAGCTCATTGTCATGTATATCTTTCTTAAAGTCTCTAGAACACACACTTTCCAAGCTTATACCATGCAGTTCTCCCCTTAAATAAAAATACTGTATTTCTCTTAAAGATAGATTTCTGTATGTGGTGGTTTGGCCCTGGCCAGATGCCAGGTACCCACCAAAGCCACTCTATCACTCTCACCCCCTCAGCTAGACAGGGGAGAGAAAATATAACAACGGGCACGTGGGTCAGATAAAGACAGTTTAATGAAGCAAAAGCTGCGCGCGGAAGCAAAAGCAAAACAAAAGATCTTATTCTCTACTTCCCATCAGCAGGCAATGTCCAGCCACTTCCTGGGAAGTAGGGCTCCGGTACGCATAGCGGTTGCTCTAGACGACAAACGCGAAACGAATGTCCCCCCCTTCTTCCTGTTTTCCCCAGCTTATATTGCTGAGCAGACATCATGTGGTATGGAATATCCCTTTGGACAGTCTGGGTCAGCTATCCTGGCTATAGCCCCTCCCAAGTTTTTACCCACCCCCAGCCTACTGGGGAAATGTTGGGAAAGCAGCCTTGGTGCTGTGGGAGCCCAGCTCAGCAGTAGTCAAAACACTGGTGTGTTATCTAGCTACCACTGCACAGCACGGTGAGGGCTGCATCTCAGGCAGACCCATTACACTGTAGTGAGAGTAAGAAGTTACAGTGCCCACCATTTCCAGGTTCCTTAACGTGTTCAAATACATTTTAAGATGCTAGAAAGATATAGACCACTTGAAATAAGAGAAGCTGCTTATTCATTAAGAAGCATTTAAAAAATAAGGTTGGGGGTTTTTAAGCTCCTTTAATTATTTTTTTAAGAGAGCAACTTGTAACAAGATTAGGTTTATTCAGATCAAGAAAACGTTGCCTTTTCCCAAGCAAGGAGTTTAAAAAAATCTTAAGAAGTAAAATTTCTCTGCATTATCTGTT